TGTGGGCTCTGATGACAGACGGGCAGGGTATATAGGGCAGACAAACAAGCGGACGGTGTTATATGGTTTATTTACATATGCAGGGCCGGCTTTAGCGATTTCCGAAGCACGAGGCGGACCAGAGTTAATATAGTCTTGATCTCGTCTCGGGCGGTAGGCTAACTTGATCGACAGTGATGGTGCGGTATTGCTAGTGCTGGTGGTGATTTCACCAGATACAAAGCTGTCAGATATGTCTCCCGATGCATCGCATCACCCACTGGAGCTGCATTGTTTACTGCAAATCGGCCGATAGCTTTGTAAGGGTATATTTATTGTTGTAGTGCCTACTTAACCCTGCCTAGAGTCCGATAATCCCTCAACCGTTGTCGTCAAGCTCTACTAATGGTAGGCCCAAGAAACGTTCTGTTTCGACGGCGTCGGACCAGAGGCAGAGGGATGTTAGTTGAATTGGTTGGGGTGGACTTGTGAAGATATGTCCGAGGTTAAGCTACTACAGTATCTAGACCTTAATGGAGCCAGGGTAACTCCCTTTAGGCGTCTTTGTGATTTGTGTGATAGGCGCCTGTGTGATTTCCTTCGTCCAGGCTGTGAAAGGTGTGGTCGTAGCCTTGGATGCCGATATTTGTAGGTCAAAAGCCGTGAAGAAGCGCTTCAGGTCACGGAGGCATCTGTTCATCAAGACGATGAGATATTCTCAATCAGTGTGCCGCGTTACAAAGGACTTTGACGGTCCAAGCGCCACAAGTACGGACGCAGGGTTCCTTCTATTGTTGTTGTAGTGTCTTACTGAGCACTGCCCAGATCGGCTTGTCCCTAAGTATTTGTCGTCCAGCTCAACCAACGGGAGGCCCGAGAAACGTGCCACTCCGACTGGTTTGACCACAGGGAGGGGCGCGTGAGTTGAGTGGGCATGAGAAAAGGTGTGTCTAGTTATGGGGTGCCTATCTGCATGCCGGATATACCACGACGTAAATGACTTGAGTTTTTCCCGACCTAGGGCTGTTG